ACATTGTTGCCTGCACTTGCTGCAATGTTACTTGAAAACTCAATCCCTGTCATGTGCAGGTCTGGTGTTGTATGCAGACTCGTCAGACAGAAAGAAGCCAAGCAACTGGCGTTTTACATGGCTGGGAAGAATCTGCAACTTATTACCAGACTAGAATAATAATAATTAATGCATGCTGGGCCAAGCCAGATACATCCACCAAGCATACTGTGACCAATTTCATGCGCACCGCAAGCGTGCAGGTATACTTGCAACAATTTTATCCACAAAATATCTAGGCTCCAAATTTCCAAAATTTTCGGGTCAGCAACCCCTCCCCAGGAGGACATTGTACCTGAGTTGGCTGACCGTACCCTACTAAAATGCCTTCCGACGCCCCTGAAACGCGAATTTATTAGCAAGTGTGAATTAGTAAGCTTCCAAGATTGTGCATCTCTGCATATGAGGTCTACGGGGGTGACAACTCACATCACGTGTCTCAGGTACATTTCGTACTACATTATCATACAAACGAAGGGCTGAGTGCGCACAATCCGAATACTTTACATGATCATGCTGGCGATTTTCCTTCCCGCAGTGACTTTTTGTCCGCTGCTTGCTAAAAACGGGCTGGAAACGTACAACTGGAACACTACAGCACTCGATGTGAGCTTCACCATCGGCACCCCATAGAAAAGTATCAGGAGTTGCACACTGTGAGCAGCTTTAAAATATATATATAGTATTATACTTTTTGATATCAGTATCTATCAGCGTCAAGTCCTATTATTGTGCATTTCTGCGCATATCCAGCTTTTTTTAATGAATCTCTAGCTGGACCTTGGATGACATATAATTGTTTGCATAGTCGGTCTGGACTGTTTTGCTGAATCAGATGAGCGCAGTCTATTCCAGTGATGCAGCACAGGTTTGCTGCCATAAAGCCACGTCTTTTTACCGAGCCACAGACTGAACACTCCTCTGCCCAGCATATTCCATGCTGCAGAAATAGGTCCAGGATAGGATCAGCAACCAGTAGCAGGACTGTTGGCTATGAGTGGTGTGCCGGATTTACAGCAGGTTCTACGAGTAGGATTGTCTGAAAGTATCCCATCATACTCCCCTGTTCTCATTTCTATTTTTCTACAGCACAATGTTACTGGAACCACAAAGGTAAGTGATATCGCAATATACAACATTTCGGCGCTGCAAAATTTCGGCACTTCACGATTTTTGACATTTCGGCGGCGATTTATTTTCGGTGTGGGGTAGAGGGCATGGTATAGTGCGACAGATGCTGTGAAAAATCTCATCGGCGTTTTAATTTAGGCGTTTTGGGTCGGTGCCGAATATAGCCGAAATTAAATAGCTGCCGAAAATATGTATATTTACAGGTCTGTTACTGTCAAAAATCGAAATTTATTTGAAGATTCTAGAACTCAAATATTGGTTGCGACTTCGTCGATGATTTGTTTGAAAAGGGTTTGCTCTCTACGCTGGAGCTCGCACTATTCCGCCGACTTGACTTGACACTTGACTGACTCACGACTGCCATCCAGAGCACACGAGAAGTCCATCGAACATACGTCTCACCAAACCTGCAAGAAAGCACCACTCCCTGCTCAATACACAGTGTTTCGGGGAATTCACCCCTCATCAGTTGAGCTTGAGTAGGCTGAGGAAGATTGTGCCTGAAAGGCACACTTTTAAATTAATTACTGATTTTTCAATTTATAGTTATTACAACACGACACGAGGGAAACATGGATGCAGTGAATGGGATTTCGGTCTTTGACCACTTTGTGGTGGGTCTGATCTACTCACCTCCCACCGCTTAGGAGCTGCATCTGCGCCTTGATCCAAGAGGGTGGTGGCGTTCCTGCGCGTCAGGCGAAATTACTGGTCAGTCGGCGACACGCATTTTTCACAAAAAATTGCGTTTCACCTGCTGGGAGAGTATGCGTGTACTCGAGTCTCACCCTGAGCACATTTTTTACTTCTTTTTTTCAGCTCCAGTATAGCTGCATTTTTCATTGCAAAGCCGTCCTCGATTGTTGTGTTCGTTGTTCAAACCAAGTGGACATTCAATCATGAAGGCAGAGGACATAGGAGCCTGATTGGAGTTTCTCGTGGCATAGGACGGCCACACAGAGACACTTTGGGATTTTCTGAATATAAAATACCGTACGCACGATGCTGAGATTAATTTGTGCGATATCAAATTGTTTGTGATCTACCACATCGAGCAGAACGGGATCCAAACACAAGCTTACCGATGGTTAGGCGGCCGACCTGACTGGACAAATGATCCCTGGCTTCACCAGACGCCAGAAGTCGGACACCATGTCCTTTGCCGCGACGGCCATCTTCGTCGTGAAAAGGCTTGAAATACTCAATAATCAACCGAGATTCGCGGACTCGCGCTTTCTCGGATCGATTAATTTCCTGTTGGAACAGTTGCAGGGCAGCTTCCCGCCACTGTTTCAACAGGCGATGGTTCCAAAGCATACCTGGAACAAGCCATATCGAGTTTGCAAGCCACCCCTCTCAGCAAAAAATTCGAAGAAATTCGAAATTTCAATGGTGGAAGATATACTATGAAGAGAATTTCAAAAAGTATGTTTCGCGGAGCGATCGCTCAACCTACGTCATTCAAACTTTGCAGGATGGTTCAGACGTACATGCTAGGCATGGAACCACATGCGATGATGCCATAGCTGACACACAGAGTAATACACACAGCAGATTCGTGTGCACAGATACTAAATTAGTGGACGTCGTCATCTTCTTCCCGCTGATCTCGAATATACTATGACGTGCTATTTCGCCTGACGGATGCGGAAAACTGCGCCTTTGGCCGAGTCTCACGTGAACCGTGAAATTTTTATTTTTATTTTTTTACAACATCTCAAGAACTCTTCCTCTCCTCTCCTCCATGCGCTCTCACAGCCGACTCACTGCTATCCTCGGTAGCCATTACACACACCAACAGCCATACAAGGAAGGGTTGCAGGTACTAGGGAACATTTAGCTCTATCGCTCCTAACTGGTCACTTGCTTCGCTAGTTGCGGCTCTTCACGAGCCAGTTGTTGCCAATTGCATTGGCTTTGCCTTGCAACCCCAATGTGGGTTTATTGTGGCTCCTCGCGAGCCAGTTGCTGCCAGTGGCCTGGCATTGCTTTCCAGCTCTTCGAGCTTTTGCATTACAAGACCAGTTACTCGAAGCAGCACACTATCTCCAAACAATTCCTTGTTGCCTTGGGCTGAGTATGAGTGTGTGAGGGATATGGTGCTAAGAGTAGATAAACAAGAGTGTGCAACTCCAGGATGGGTTGGCCCGTGGCGGATTTTTTTGTTGACGTAATCTTTTCGACGACGCACGCGCTGCGAGTCCTTTGGAAAGTTTAGCCTCATGCACTTGGCCGGGCTTTACATTACAAGGTCGGTACCCAGCACATGCTCTCACACTGCTCTGTGGCAAAATGCGCGTTTTTCTGAAAAAAAGAAAAATTCCCCCGCAGGCGGGGGTATCTGCAGATTGTACAGAAGAGATCCGGAGTTGCACACTCTTGTTTATCTACTCTTAGTTGTAGGCTTTTCTGCAATGGTATCACCAAGCAAGCTTGGCTAGCCTTCGCATAAGTTGCTCTACGATGACGTGACAAAACGGTAAAGGCATTTATAGGGCAGAACAAAGGGTGACAATGTTTTTGAAAGATGAACCACCAGTTGTGTTGAGGAACACAAGCTGTAGGATAGTAAACACATGTGGGAAGGGGAATTGCGCAGGCCATATACGATACAGTATATGCGAATCTGTGGGCATTTGTCCTTTGGAAATTGCTGACATTGACGCGGAAAAGCGATTAATAATAATATACGGTATGCGATGTACACTTGTCTTGAATATATTGGCAACTGTGTGCTCTACATTTAAAAATCCTGCAAGAACGGACCATCAGTGCAATTATGCTGTATGCTGTGGATGTTTTGATTATATTACACATTGGATTCTGCTCATCTTGTCTTTTTCATTGACCTCTTCACAGCATCGATATGTTAATGTCCTGAAACTGGACCACATCAGCTCTACGGCTACCAACACTATAGTCAAGTATTGTAGTTGTGAACTTACCTTTAACATGGCGATACCATGTGTTTCTTTGAACGTAAGTGATAGGATTTGGAAAAGTATTATCACTCAAACCATCTACGTGGTCTCTGCTTTTCCCTTTTCCATTCCCTCGACCTATGAATTCCTTTCTGCCAGGACATTCAGCCAAAATGTGATGATTTCACCGACATGGCAAAAGGAAAACATGATATCAGAAATTGGTGCCCTCGTCAGCACAAAAAGTGGTGTACTCAGCACAAAAAAGGTGCACGTGTCAGCAACAAAGCAGCGCAGCAGCATGCACGAGTCAGCAACACAGAGACAACACGTGCAGCCACATGTACACACAGAGACACAAATTCAGCAGCAGATACGACCAAGAAACAACACGTGCAGCCACGTGTACACACAGAGACACAAATTCAGCAGCAGATACGACCAAGAGACAACACGTGCAGCCACATGTACACACAGAGACACAAATTCAGCAGCAGATACGACCAAGAAACAACACGTGCAGCCACGTGTACACACAGAGACACAAATTCAGCAGCAGATACGACCAAGAGACAACACATGCAGCCACATGTACACACAGAGACACAATTTCAGCAGCAGATACGACCAAGAAACAACACGTGCAGCCACGTGTACAAACAGAGACACAAATTCAGCAGCAGATACGACCAAGAGACAACACGTGCAGCCACATGTACACACAGAGACACAAATTCAGCAGCAGATACGACCAAGAGACAACACGTGCAGCCACATGTACACACAGAGACACAAATTCAGCAGCAGATACGACCAAGAAACAACACGTGCAGCCACGTGTACACACAGAGACACAAATTCAGCAGCAGATACGACCAAGAGACAACACGTGCAGCCACATGTACACACAGAGACACAAATTCAGCAGCAGATACGACCAAGAAACAACACGTGCAGCCACGTGTACACACAGAGACACAAATTCAGCAGCAGATACGACCAAGAGACAACACATGCAGCCACATGTACACACAGAGACACAATTTCAGCAGCAGATACGACCAAGAAACAACACGTGCAGCCACGTGTACAAACAGAGACACAAATTCAGCAGCAGATACGACCAAGAGACAACACGTGCAGCCACATGTACACACAGAGACACAAATTCAGCAGCAGATACGACCAAGAGACAACACGTGCAGCCACATGTACACACAAAGACACAAATTCAGCAGCAGATACGACCAAGAGACAACACGTGCAGCCGCAGGTACAACACTATATGCGGCAAAATAACAGGAATCCAGAGAAAAAGAGTTGATTAGGAAACTCGGGACAATGGTAATGGGGAATGATATGTTGGAAGACGTGTCAGATATTGATTCGTATGTTGATTGAAGTCCTCATGAAAGTGTTGATTAGGAGACGAGCATCCTAAAATTTATTAAAAAATCGAGTGAACGCACCAGTCCATTTCAAGCGAATATACAATTGCGTGATCAGCATAGAGAAGCTCGGGCCATGGCCCGGCGACTCGACAGGAAGCTGCGCAACCAGTAATACACTGAAGAATGCCGGACGACTGACCAACGCAAACTGTGGAGAGTGTTGAATGTTGTAACTGGCCGTCAAAAGAAAGCCCAGGTCCCACAGGCATTGTAGGAACTGCGTCCCACGATACTAGAATACACTCTCAGTATCACAGCTACCATCGAAAACACATTCTTGCTTATCAGTCTCTCAAACAACAACAACAACATCGTCACGTGCGCATGCGTAATATCCCGCATGCACACACTGACTCAGAACATAGTACAGTACAACATTACCCCTTCCCCAAGGGAAAAAAGAAAGAAAGAAAAAAGAAGAAGAAGAAAAGAAGGTGGATGGGGAAGAGGCACCACAAAAAAACATACGAGGAATTATGGGTGTCAATAAAAATGAAAGTAGCATGAAGAAAAGGGACAAACACGAACGGATTCCCACGTGTGTAAGACAGGTTCCGATATACAATGGTTTGATCACAAGAGATCTCATTTAGCGGGACAGTCCTGGCATGAGGTATTCAAGAAATGGCTTACAAATTGAGCCTATCTGGGGCAGCAATGGTGCGCTCTGATCGCCGGAGGCTAACTGGGGCATGGGAGACGATTGTGCAGATGAGGGCTGTCTCGCTAGAGGCACCAATGGCCTCGTCGACTGAGCCACCGACGGGGACGACGCATGGGTCTCTGCTTGTTCAGCCGGAGCGGCAGGCGGTGAAACCACGGCTTGGTTGGACGGTTGGACATCGGGAGATTCCAGTCCCGTGCTGCTAGAGGGGGGTTGGCACGGTCAAACGTGTCGCCGATTGCGAAAAGTAACACGTGCATCATCAGAGACTATTACAGAGCGACCTCGTTGTTCAACAACTTTCCATTTCCGTTGCTGGGCTGTGTGGCCATCCTGCAAGAGCACTGAAGAGCCTGGCGACAGGGATGGGAGGGGTTTCACGCCCCGGTGCTGGTCGTGCTGTACTGCCATGCCGAGTTTCTGTGACAACTGGGTTTCGAGGTGGACGATGGGGGCATTGACAACGCTGGGCACGCGAGTTTGGATGTGGCGACCAAAGAAAGCGTGTGCTGGAATGGTACCAAGCATCTGGTTGGTGGAGGTGCGAATTGAGAAAAGCACCTGCTGGATACGCTAGATAAACGGCATCTGGCTGTTGAGAGTCCCGAATCTCGCACAAACGGTGCGGTGAAATCTTTCCACCATGCCATTTGATTGTGGATAGCGTGGGCTGGCCCGGATGTGATGAACTCCCAGGCGTTGGAGGAACTCACCCATTTCGGCTTACACAAATTGTGGGCCATTGTCACTGACGAGCTCGAGCGGAATGCCAAACCTGGCGAAGATAGTGGACAAAGCCATCACGACATGTTGGGACTTGGTTCCAGGCAGGACAATCAGCTCCGGGAAACGAGACCCGTAGTCGACCAACGAGAGCAGGTGGCGGCCTTCGATCTCCACCAAATCAACTGCCACCTTGTGCCACACTGGAACAACCTCTGTTGGCTGCAGCTCTTGGCTGTGGTTGGTGCGGCTCCGCCAACAAATGTCGCATGCTGCTGCAAACTGCTCAGCATCCCGTGACATACGAGGCCACCAAACAGAACGGCGAAGGGTGTCTTTGAACGTAGCGCTGCCTGGGTGCCCCTCATGAGCTAGCTTCAAAACCGGCTGTTGCAAAGCCGATGGGATAACAACTCGGCTTTCCAGAAGAAGAATGCCATTTGCGACGGTCAGCTGGCTTCGCATCATGAAGAATAGCCATCGTTGAAGCCGTGGCGGAACTTCATCGAACGACTTCTTGACAATGTGAACCAACGGCTTGTGATCAGTCAAAACGTCTACGGTGCGACCAAGGGCATATTGTCGGAACTTGGTTAGGCCGAAAACCACAGCCAGCATTTCACGTTCCAGCTGGGAATAGCGTGCTTCCGTTGGATTGAGCGAACGACTGGCACAACAGACAGGCTGCCAGTCACCTGTGTCTGCTTTCTGCCAAAGAATAGCGCCAAGGCCCACGGGTGAAGCGTCGCAGCTAATGGCGGTGGGACGGCTGGGCGAGGCATCGAAGAATGCCAATCTGGTCAGTAGCTTGGCAGCGTTGTCTTGACACTGTTTGAATGCCTGAAGAAGTTCTTTGTCTACGAGAAAAGGCTCACGTCGTGATGACTGGCGAAGCGGCTCTGTGTGCTCAGCCAGACCTGGGAGGAATCTGCTGCTGCTGGTGCCTCTTCCCCTCGGGGACCACAAAGCAACGGCATGCTGTTTGACGTGAATTCCCCGCCACAGTGATGTCCGCCATTTCGAGAGTGGGGACCTCCGAGCCATCGTACGCACAGAGACGACGGTCGCAAGCACTGTCTGGCTTGACCACATCGGCGGGGCAGATGGTGCGCTTTGCACCCGTGTCTAATAATCCTGACACTGGCTTGCCATTCACAGACAGGGTAATCAGGAACCGCTCATCATGGGATGACTTGCTGAGTGGCTTCGTCAGGTATATCAAATCATCCGTTGCGCACATTTTGGCTGACTCTTCCTCCTTGCACGCATTCGCCTGGCCAGGTCGGCTCCCATCCTGACGACGACCACGCCGTGACAAGCACACCTTGGAGAAATGTCCCCTCTTTCCGCAGTTGTTGCATTTCTTTCCAGCTGCCGGACAGTGGGCCATTCCGGGAGTATGCTGCTCCCCACAATATTTGCAGTTGACTGGTGACGAACGTGAGTGAGTGCTAACACGATTGGCGGACGCACCACTGGGAATGGAGTCCTCCGTGGGGCGAAATCCAAACTTCCCCGGCTGGTCGTAGAGCTTGGACTCTGAATAAGAGAGTTCCATGCTGACTCCTTTACGGATGGCAGTCGCCAACGTAAGGTTTGGATCTGCCAACAGCTCCCGACGAATTTCAATATTGGCCAAACCAGCGATAAACTGGTCACGAATCTGTGAGTCCACAATGGAATCATTGGTGGTAGAATCGAACTCGCACGCCTCGGCAGCAGTCCTCAGGCCGGCGGCAAACCAGGTGAGGGACTCCGCAGGCTGCTGTTTCCTCATGCGAAACTTATGGCGTTCGACGGTGGTGTTGACTGCAGGGCGGAAATATGATTCGAGGCCTTGACGGAGAACAGTGTACTCGGTGTCAGACCCGCTCGGAGTCGGAAGAGACAGGCCTTTCACGATCCGGCGAACCCCTAATCCGGCAAGATTGGTAAGGAGTTGCACCTTGGTTGAGGCCTCCGTCACGAGATAGGCTTCGAAATCCTCAAGCCAAATTTGAAATTCGGCAGAAATGTCGGAACTATCTCCATCTCTATATCTGTCATCAGTGTGTCATGCCTCTTACCTCATTGTAGCTTCATCCGTAGTCCGCTTCCATTGTCCTTGTTCTATTTCTTCTAGTGCTAGTCGTTTCACTTCTCATCTTCCCTTGAAGTAGTTTATTTGAATTGTAATTGTTTTCCTGCAACGATCGCTAGTTGTGTTATTTATTTGCGTCTTGACTTCATTATTTATTTCGCCAGCGCCTGCAAGGCTGCATGCACATGCTAGATTCTGTGTTGACGCGTGACTAATGATCGCTATGCCTTTGCTTGCTGCGGTATATACCGGTAGTCGCGTAGCTGGTTTTGTTGTTTTCTTTGCTTGGTTCGAGTTGCTGTTTGCTCGACTTCGTTTTCAGATCAATTTTCTGCACTCAATGGTGGCAGTGGTGGCTGTCGCTGCAATAGCAGCTTCAGCTACGACGGGCCCCTATCGGTTGCTCTGCCGCCATGGTGGATGTGATGTTAGACGTGTCTTTTCCTGGCCAAAGGGCTGGTGATTTTGTGTTCCTGTTGCTCTTTTCTTGTTCTCTCTCCTTTTCCTACTTGCATTTTTCGTGATTCATACATTTCCACCAAGCGGCTGCCGTTTGCGCTGGTGTGTTGTGTTGGGTGAAGAGGGGTGATAGAGAGACTAGATAGCTCCAGTTCTCCCACACACCCCTCTGTTTCAGGGTGGCGACCCAACCTCACCTACAAACTACCGCCCAGTTTCCCTGCTTCCCATCATCTCCCGTATTCTGGAGGCATTTTTAAAGAAACAGCTCCCCACTTATCTCAAATCAGCACAGCTTCTACCCACCAGCCAATTTGCCTATCGTAAACAATACTCCACAGAGGATGCACTTGTCCTCGCAGTCAACAGATGGTCTCTAGCCACGTCTCGACGAGAGTACACTGGAGTTGTGTTCGTAGACATGTCGAAAGCGTTTGATCGCGTTCAACACGAGCGTCTTCTGACTGAACTTTTCTCTCTTGGCATATCTGGTACCCCACTCACTTGGTTTGCCGATTACCTCTCAGGCCACTTCCAGCAGATCAGAGTTCAGGGACATCTCTCTTCTGGCTTTTCTTGTTTTCGAGGTGTCCCACAGGGCAGCGTTCTTGGTCCCCTGCTATTTGTCTTGTACACTAGCACATTGAGTACGATCCTGCCACTGGCGGTAAACCACCAAGAGTTCGCGGACGATATTAGTCCTGCGGCCCAAATCTAAAAGACGTTGTTTTGCAAATCCCGTTTCAGTCTCAAGCAGACAACCTGAACTTTGCATTGGTGGAAAGACCATGTCCTAGGGATGTCGAAACGGCTTGTTGTCATGTCCAGAACTAGGGCATAAGCTGGGGAGAACCAATTTTAGATTTCGTTAGGGAAGTCGTTATTTTACGTTATTTTACGACTCCTTGATTAATTGGGCAACTTGGAGGCAATGGGTCAACACAAAGGAGTGGCTCAGTTCGATTGACTCTGGCCCCAGAGCAAACTTCAACATGCCAGCTCCTTCCACAAACATTATTTTGAGTGAAAAATCAACGCTGATGATCGGTTTGGGTCTATACAAATTTGGCTGTCAAGGCATTCCGGTATCGAACAGTCTACTCTACAGGGTAGTCAGAGCGACACAGGAACAACTAACACAACGGGGTGAACTTATAACGAGCAGCTAGACTACACTACACACTCGAGCACAAGAGAACAAGGTTCCACGGACTTCCTGCCGGGACCCGAGTCACCCGACACAAAACAATTAAAAATTCGAAATTGAATACAAGTTACGGCAACACATTACGCAGAGTAGACAATTACAAAGGCATGCTCACCTGAGTAGGCGCTCTCATGAGAGGCTTGGACGTTCGTAAGACATTGGTGGGGCGACGACGAGAAGAGAAACGCCGGCTGACGCATCGACGAGCTTCAGGGTCGTGAGGTGAAGACGAGCTAATTGTTGGGCAGCAAATGTCGTTATGCAGCAGACAAGCTGCCTCTTCTACGCTCTCGCCATGCCGTAAATGCAAGAAGACTAGTACATTGGTTTGTTCTCGGTTGGAAAGAGAGCTTTTCATTGCCACACTTCAGGACTGGGGGGGGGGGGGGAGGGAACTGACAACTGGCAAAAGGAAACATATCGGAAATTGGTGCCCTCATCAGCACAAAAAGACTTTTAAGTGGCGTACTCGATATCAGCACACAAAGGTGCACGTGTCAGCAATACAACAGAGCAGCGCAGCAGCATGTATGGGTGAGCAGCATGTATGGGTGAGCAGCATGTACGGGTGAGCAGCATGTACGGGTACGGGTGAGCAGCATGTACGGGTGAGCAGCATGTACGGGTGAGCAGCATGTACGGGTGAGCAGCATGTACGGGTGAGCAGCATGTATGGGTGAGCAGCATGTACGGGTGAGCAGCATGTATGGGTGAGCAGCATGTACGGGTGAGCAGCATGTATGGGTGAGCAGCATGTATGGGTGAGCAGCATGTATGGGTGAGCAGCATGTATGGGTGAGCAGCATGTATGGGTGAGCAGCATGTATGGGTGAGCAGCATGTATGACACAGAGACACAAGTACAGCAGCAGATACGACAAAGAGACAACACGTGCAGCCACATGTACAACAATCTTAGTGCAATCACCTGCTTCATTTTCCTTGTAGAGAACTGGCTTGCACAAACCACTACATGCCACTTCAAGGTTTTCAAGCTTGAATGTTCTTATGCGTATCCTGTGTACTGATCCAACCAATTCTTATTCTGCACACCAGGTCACAACTATGCAGAGTACCAGCATTCAACAATTGTCTGAGAAAGTCTTGAATCCACGGTTTTCTAATGGTCATACGTATGGTTTAATTCCAAATCCATTCTTCACTAAATATGGTACTTACCAGGCCCAGTATCACTACGATAGCAATCGTGAGTAGGAAATCCTTCGCCTTTATTGCTCATGTGCTGTTATATTTTGGTAAGATTGCCAGTTTCGAAGTGCACTGACTTTGTAGCTCGGGTATGGAATAACTCCGTATGAGTGGCTGCTCCGGGAGAATCACCCATCAAGTTGCCTCCTGTTGTAGGTGAACGTGTATTCCTCCCGTCCCCGTCATCTTCGCAGGTTTCTGCACAAACTCGTCTCCTGGTAAAAAAGCAAAAAATGACTCGGAGTGGCGATGTAATTTCCCTGTCAATCTGTCTCCTGGCGCTGCTTCTCATACATGATCTCATACATTGTTTCTAATGACCCTGAACGTATCATGTAGGAGTAGAAAGTGTGACCAATGTAAAGTTTTTTTTTTTAAACGATTTCCGGAACTTCTCCGCTACACGTACGCAAAGCTTAGTGACCCCCTGCCATCACATGCCCGTCTGTTGCATCTCTTGTATGAGATAAGAGAAGAAATAGCACAGAAATAGCACACCAGTAATGTTTCTAGAGCAACGATTGATTTTTCTTGCTAAACATTGTGCTCCGTACGAGATTTCTCTTACAGTAGCCCAGCCGATAGTGTACAAGTGATGTGCGTAACAGGCATTGTGTGAAAATACTCTAATCTGTATTTTTCAAAGAAACGTGGAACGGGAACGCTATTCAGGTGTCATGTACTGACTAGCAGTGGACATACTTCACTGTCTACATATTGTTTTCTCTATCCTTACCTAACTAGGGTTTACCGGGTGTTAGCGGCCGTCGTGAGTTCGCTTTGGGAACGGACACGATATTTTCCTTTTTTTTACCTAACTAATTCAAACTTAGAAGTTGCGACTTCGGCGGTAATAGTCATGAAGTTTATTGTTCCAACTAGGAACACACTCTTCTTGCCGAACTTGACACTTGACTGGCTCACGACTGCCATCCGGAGCACATGAGAAGCACGCCGCACCTTCCACTCGGCAAACCTGCAAGAAAGCACCACTCCCTGCTCAATACACAGTGTTTCGGGGAATTCACCCCTCATCAGTTGAGCTTGAGTAGGCTGAGGAAGATTGTGCCTGAAAACCACCACTTATATACTGCTCAGGCTCCAGGCCAAACCATCACCAGGGATACAAACTTACAGAGATGCTTTGTTTCCAGCGCGACAAACACCTCGTGAAGCTCCAGGTAGCAGAGTGAGTCAGAGTCGCTCATGGAGTTGTGCTAAACAGACGTTGAGAGCAATTTAGAAGAATGATCGTAACGTGAAGGAAGTTGGAAGAATTAGTATGTATGCGAAGTGTATCGGGGGAATGCATGCAGGGCGATAGTGCGGGTTCGAATCCTAGGTTATGTCTTTGGAACAATAGGAGAAATGAAAAAATTATAACATCTCTATGCTTTTTTTGCCTAGGTCATCAAGGTGGTAGACGGTATCGTATTACCCTGAGGGCCTCGGATGCAAAGAGAGAGTTGACTCTTGCTAGGCAAAACGCATAGCGTAGGGCCCTGAGCTTCCAAGCTCTCTCGTAAGAAAGAAAAAGTACCAAGGAGCTAAAAGTTACGCTACGGCATCCACTAACACCACCAGTTACTAAACAATCAGCTCATGCAAAAACATTGCACGACACTGACCGACGATACTGACGTTCTACAACTAACTGGCTAACAGGTCTAGCACATCTTGGATGCGCACTCCAACAGCCTTCCAACTTGGAAGGTTCTAAGTTATAGAATCAACATAATGAGGGGAAGGTGAGCGCAACCAAGATAAGCACGAGCTGAAAGTCTCAGCCGTGAAGGACGTTGGCGTATGTTCATGCATGTCGATGAAGATACTGGCAAGTCCATTGGACAATACGGTCAAACCACGATTCAAGGACGCAAAGCAACATTCCACACAACTTGTGTTTGCATGCTGAGCCTCTTTTCTCCAATCCACTGGCTTTCCAGCGCACTGATTCTCTTGGTGGAGTATGCACTCACAGCTCCGAACGAAATTTATTCTCATTTCACTCCACCTTGATGGATTTTCATCGTCCTGGGTTCGTTGGAAAGATCAGGACCAAGCAAATCCATCATGGCAGCTCTCAGCTCCATAGACACATCAGGGCCACTTCCACGTCCTCTCCAAACTACTGCACCGTGCCTCGAAACGGCACAACAACTCAATTTCACATTCTTGTTCGGCTTCTTGCCCAAATTCAACAGAATTTCACAATTCAAACTGCGCTGCAAAGCTCAGATCCAAGCGCTTCATTTGATGTCCATCACGCATGCGCCGTGCCAAAGGGAAATCCCCTGACACGCTCCTCAACAAAAAGAAGTCCTGGACAAAAAATTCGCGTTCACTCTGTGCCGTGATTTCCATGTTCATCTTGTCGCCGCTCAATGAATTCTTATCCTATCGCGAAGAACTTTATATCCCTGAAAAGATGATGAGGTCAAGACCTTTCCAACGGTGTATTGATTGTCGCGATGCGTTTATGTTAGACGAAGTTACGAAAGTTTGTACACTGGTCTATGTACTGCAATATATCGCGCGAATTTTTTGCGAGTTAACTCGTACGTATACGCGTAGTGGATCGGGTCATGCATAAAGTGCGAGTTAACTCGTACTCAGCACGCAAAGGGTTAAAAGATTGCAATGTTATCGCATGAGCTGATTGTTTAGTAACTTGTGGTGTTAGCGGACATTATAGTGTAACTTTTAGCTCATTGGTCCTTTTTCTTTCTTATAAATCAATACCTTTCCAACGGTATATTGTTTTGTGAAAATCGCCCACCGTTGCCATGAGTTACCATAGTTTGTAGAGTATGTATGCACAGAGTCGTACTGCTGCTGGGCAGTGGAGCGAGAATATCTCGTCATCCGCCGTTCAGGTACACTTTAGAGAGAGATATCTAGTCATTAGCACTGAAAGGGTTAGTGGAATATCTCCCGAGTGGAGCATTAAAAGTGTTTTTTTCTTCTTTTTTCAGATGGCCTGTTTGGAGCTCTGGCTGTCACTAGTGGCGTTAAACCCGCCAACATCGCAAAATACGGAGCAGGAAATCCACCAAACATTCTAGAGTTGTCAGAAGACATGAGACAACGCATTTTCAAACAGAACATCCAAGCAAATACCTTCAGTTGGAGAGGATGTGAGTGACTTTGTTGTGTGTTTGACTTAATGTTCATAATGTCCAGGCAGACAGAGAAGCTTATGATTCACGGTTTGCATGGTGTGCGCTCCCATCAGGCACGTACGCCGCTCGCCCCAGGAGTGGTTCCCATGCCAACTGATCAACCAACATTCCACACAATTGCTAGTGCTGTTTTTCGTAACCGACGGAGATTCTACATATTCTCCTCAGACTGGATGGAATTGACATCCACAAGCTGCTGGACAATTGCTACGCATTTAAGATTTACTCAGCAGAGAGAGCAGTGAAACTGCCACCTGGTGGCTGCCGAAGCGCTCCGTTATCAAAAATCATTGTGCGCCACCAAAGGCAAAGGATTTCATTTCCTGTGCGTGTCTGGGCGGATGGCAAACAGCGTCACTTTCAACTGTCCTGGTTGGAGGAGATTCCCTGGGTAGTCTTTTGAGCGGCGTGCAATTGTGGCTTCTGCTTGCCCTGTGTAATGTTTGCTCCAGATGATTCGAAGGTTGGGCAGCTTTACCGCAGCCCTCTCGAGGATTTAACCCGATTCAAGACTGCATGCAATCGTCATGCAGTCTTCTCGGCATGGCCAGCAATCGAGGACATCTGAGAGTTGTAATTTTTTTACTCCTCCGAGGTGTGATTTTTGGCGTGCTGGGTCAAGCACAAGGAAGCCATCTGCCAAAAAAATGAAGAAAATGGTTGTTGTTTGATCCTTTGGTGTAATCTTTGTAGCTAGTCGAAGGAAGTTGCTGTTTGGAGCAGAAACACTGAAATTGACTATTTTCTACATGTACTCATGCATGTACTCATGTACTCGGGCATGCAGTCTCACTCGTATTTTAGCTCATTTTCTGGAATGGATGCTGCTCTGCGCCCCTTGGTGAACATTTCCTGTGCTCGTGGAGCAGCTGAAAAGGACCACTGGTGTGTCTGGTTCCTGGTTTGAAAGTGGAGTCGACTTTTGTGCCTTGCGTCTGTAGCTTATTTTGAGTGCTCCTCGTACATTTTTGATCGTGAAATTCTCAGACCAAAATTATGTTGATTTTGAATGTACGTGATGACATGCGATTGCTGGCTATGGTGACTGGGGCTGAATCGCAAGCCACGTGATCCTTGCAGGCTCATACACGCTGCCCTTGGAAATGCAATGCGAACGATTTGGACTCCTGCACGCCTACGGCGAAAGTTTGTTGATTTACAGTAATATGCCGTATGCATTCAAACCGCGCGGAAAAAAGTCTGCGGGGCACTTTTTTTGTTGCGCCCACATGTAGTGATTATTTGTACTGTAGAAGTATTGCTGTGGGTGGGAAGAGAGTAGATTGTTTCCTTTGTAGCTGGAAGGTCGTTCTTCATCGCCTTGTTTCTGGCAGTTTCAGAAAGGATGCCTAGTCATGCTAGCTGCATTGTACCGTTCTGCCCCAACAGGAAAGATCGATGCAAGTGGGGTTTGGTTGAGAGTGACGAGAAGAGAGCTGGACGAAAGTTCTACGTAAAGAGAAGATTGTACCAGTCAACTTTAGCTAGGAAAGGCTGCGACAACTGCGATCCAGCTTGTAAATCCTTGTCCTTCTATCGCCTCCCGGCCGACTCGGAGCTGAGGAAGAAATGGTTGCAGGCGATACCAAGGGCGAACATGCAGCCAACGCCAAATTCATACGTGTTTTCCGGTCTCGAGTGTTGTAATACCAGCAATGATGAGGCTGATGTGGGTCCCAGTCTTTACTTCTACTTCTACTGTGTGTTCAAGCTTTCCATGTGTAGCCATGCACTGCATGTCCTTGCACTGTCAGGCTGCATAGATGTACCGGTAACAGGATGTGGATACATCTGCATAGTCTCACAATGTGTGTGTACTAAATTTGTAATGCGATCAAGTCCTGCTATGGTATATATGTGAAGTTCAGACAAGCTCTGTACACTCATGCACACACACACACACACACACACACACACACACACACACACACACACACACACACACACACACACACACACACACACACACACTTGTACTTGCTCACTGCCAGAACTGGTCACGTGGGTCTCCCTGGGAGAGGGGAGAGAGACTCAAAAGTAATCTTGGAAAGATGACTCAATTGGCCTTTGAACCACCCAACGGCTGACACACCCTGAAATCCCCAAACTAGGGTGGACTTGAAATGATCCCACTGATGGGCTCACCACACCTCAGTAAGTGGGTGAGGACAAGGTGCAGAAAAAGGATCGACGGCATCAGGGTATCCGTCCCGGGATCCAACTGCAGGTACCCCTGCCCCCAGTGAAGGTAATACTTGGTACTAGTGTGGGTGGCTAAATCAGAGTGGATCTGATAAAAGCTTCACTAGCACCATTGCTTACACAAGAGTTTATCTAGCCAGAAGTAGTCCATGGTTAACAGGTATGTATACTTCAAATAGAAAGTATATGAACCCTGAAACCAACAAAGGTGGTAGGTACAACAATACGAGCTCGTTGGCAACAGGCCCAACACTATGCTCCGTCACTCGTCACCTGCAACAACAGTGTTCTGCAAGTCACACACGTGGCAAAATACCTCGGTGTGTTGATTGATGACCAGCTAACTTCGGCACCCCACATCGAGTTTCTGGCGAAAAAATTGGCGGCGACCACTGGACAGCTTTGGAGGCATGGCCGGGCCTTGTCACTGAAAGCACTTCGAATGTGGTATATGTCTATGATATCTCATCTCTGTTACGCCTCTAATTGCTTCTTTCCTGCGCTTTCACGGTCTCTGCTAAATTGCCTTGTAAAACTGCATAAGTCTGGTATTCGTGCTGTGTTTCAGGCTCCCCGCCGCACTGCAACAGCTCCCTTGCTTGCTAAGTTATCCATACCATCACTTCACCAAGTCCTTTTACAGAAGCTGCTTGTATTTGTTTTCCGGTCTATACACGGATCTGCAAGCTCTCTCTTTCAATATTATTTTTGTATTACTTGCCCAGCCCCAGATACCACTTGGTGATCGTATAGTCACCCGTGGGCAGCTGCATAATTTACTTCGCATCCCATTCCTACCCAATCCTGCTGGGAGATGTTCTATCCAATTTCTGGGCAGCACCACATGGAACTCTCTACCTGATGCTACCCGCTCTCTAACAAACCTTGTTCATTTCAAAAAATCTCTTTCAGATCTTAATCTCACTTCACTCCATTAGCTATTGACACACGAGTACGTTCTGTCCCCTGTCCATCATCAATATTATCTACATGTACAACCGCAACACACATAAAATACACTGCTGCATGGTATTTTTATAATTGTCCTGCTGACGGTCATGACATCTTATCATATTAATCTATCATACTATTATATTTTTCATCATAGCCTAGGAGCTGTGGCATCATTTACGATCCACAGTAAGAAGGCAGCAATGCCTGTACCTATGGTGAAGTAAAATAAAGGTAACATAACATAACTATCTGGCATAAGTGTACCCACCAACCGAACTAGCTGGCACACACACACGCACACACGCGCATTTCCACCATCAAACGGATTACACGAGAGTTGAATACCGCACATACCCAAAATATCCGAGACAAATAGGAATCAGTGCGATGTCATTCCTCACTGATACTTCCTGACCAGTTCTGGCAAGACATGTTCAAAGTAGAAATCACGCATAACAGTCAACGGTTTAGATATGAAATCATTATTAGGTACGATCCGCTCCACATGCAGCTCAGTTGGTGACCACACGACAAAGTCACAATTGTCTGCCTCACTGGCAAAGAGTTGCATCTGGACTTGGGTGAAGTACTGATGTCCTTGACGAAGACGCCAGGCAGCCTCTACCTTCTCAATACAAAACTGACTCTTCTTCTCTGCGCCAACATCATCAAAACACCTGTCCTTACACAGGAATGGGCATTTCACTTCCACAATGCCATTGGCGCCGACAACCAGAGCATCTGGAGTTGCAGCAAACCAAGGCTCTGTGACGCTGATGAACATGCCCGTTGGTTCGGTCACTGTATCTTTGCTGTAAAACACACGATAGAAACAAAACACAGTTTCATAGAGATTCTTAATATTATCTTATCCCCATGATCTTGAAATCACCATAAGGAAAATAGGGAGTGAAAACAAAGGCAAAGCGACAACCGCAAAAGCACACAGCGTAAAAAATATACGGCATAAAATTCCCGGGACTAGCCACAAACAGTTGCCGTTGAACTGAACTTTACAATAAATAATCATACCGTATTTCCGCGCATATAAAGCCATGGCATTATATCCGAATATAAGGCCACCCTCACTTACAAAGCCATGGCGTTATAAGTGAACAAAATTCAATGTGGAGGAAGTTGCAAGGTGAGTTCAATTCTTTCAGTGAACTTACAGTAGCGGTGATTCTCTCTACATGTACCCCTTCCCACTGTCACATACCATACCGCCACCGCACCTTCACACAAGTTTGTATGCCACCTTGTACACAATAGGTTCACAATTTGAAATTTTCAGGGAAAATTGAAAGTATATGGATGCTCGACATGAACGTGCAACGGCACCATACGAGTTCTCGCAGGTCATACTCAGCCGATTTTTCTCCTGTAAGCGTCTCTCACTTTTAGCGCCATGGCGTTAAAACCGAGGCTATTTTCTCCAAAAATTTGGTCCAAAACAGCGATGTTTCACCTATAACGCAATGGCTTTATATGCGCGGAAATACGGTAGGAATAAACCACCCAACAAAGCATTCATTCCGATAGCTTACTGGACGTGGCTATGAGAAGACTTTGCTATCCAAATACGTACCGCTTTTGGTAAGCTTCGACGCCATCCTTTTCGTGCTCGTTGCCGTACTTCGTGGCTTCCGTATAGAAGTGCTTACGAGCTGTCACTAGCCTGATCATGTTGTGAACACTGCTGGTTGACCTACAGTGTGAAATGGTATGGCTGATAGAGGCTGTGATGCGCTTTGCACGTTCCACAAACCATGTATTGCTTAGTGTCTGGCACGCTGTGCACATTCGCATCCCTTCCGCATGTTGCTTGGTGACGACGACATTCATCTCGTACCTAAGGTGAAAACCAAAATAGGAAAAAGAGAGAAAGTGGCGAAAACAAATCTGAGAAGAGATTCTATCAATCACGGAGGATACTTCAGCCCATTACACCAGGTGTAAGACAAGTACAGAATGTATATGAGCAACATTAGCGTAAAAAGCCATGACATGTGCAAAGAGAGCTGTTTGGAATGCTTATCTCGCACAAGATAACATACCCAGATCTCAAGGCTGGACTGATCTCAATGCCACTGCCTCTAGCTGCTCCACTCACTGGCTCATCCATTGCTTCTTTGATGGGCGTGACATTCATCTCGTACCTGAGGTGAAAACCAAAATAGGAAAAAGAGAGAAAGCGGCGAAAACAAATCTGAGAAGAGATTCTATCAATCAAGTACAGAATGTATATGAGCAACATTAGCGTAAAAAGCCATGAATTGTGCAAAGAGAGCTGTTTAGAATGCTTATCTCGCACAAGATAACATACCCAGATCTCAATGCTGGACTGATCTCAATGCAACTGCCTCCAGCTGCTCCACTCACTCGCTCATCCATTGATTCTTCCATGGGCTCATCCATACCTGGCGTGGAAGAAGCAGCTGTAGTAGTGGTAGCTGTAGAAGGGGTAGTAACAGTAGCTGTTGTCGTGGATGCACTTGGATGTTGTTCCTGAAAGTAGGGGTGAAACGAAAATTCTACTTCCTCCGTATACAAAAACTTCGTGACTTTTTTTCAACGGTGTTTTTGAGCAAGAAACTGCTCAACGAACCTCGCCAAAGGCTATCATCGACAACCCACATTCATGTTGAGGTAGGTTTGGTTGATCTCGAACAGTCTCCAGTCAGACGTCTCCTTTGTCGCCTAGGGGAATCGCAGGGACCTCGTCGAAGCCGTTGTAGAATGCTGGGAGGAGTCTCCTGCCGAGAAAATGCAAAGCGTGTGGATGTGCTTGAGCGACTCGTTTCACGGCATATCGAAGGTCGCGGGTTGGAACGACTGAATGGAGTCGACACCGATTCGTTAACAGCTCTAGAAATGAAGAGTACGTAGCCAAAGTCCCGCGTCGGATCATCATTGCAGCTGAAAAGAATCTCAACGAAATGCGAGCGGAAGCAGCGACTGTTGGCGATGCGGAGTCAGCGTCGTCAGGTGACAATGAGAGGAGCGACGAAGACTCTGAATAAACTCAATCTCATTCGTCTGAGTTGCTTTTTTCTTTGTATATAGCATTGTCACGAGTGTTATTTGAAGTCAAACGGAACAATTCCAGAGCTATGCGCAGCCTTCAAAAAAAGTCACGAAGTTTTTGTATACGGAGGAAGTAAATCGGAATGAATTGAATATTTTTATAAATGAATTGTCGAACATCGAATTTTCTATACCAACAAAATCTTAAAGATTTTGGCTAGTCCACGGTCGTTGTAGACCAAGTAGACAGGGAAGATGAAATCCAACGATTCCAGGTGCATGCACGCGTTTTCGAGCTCGTAGATTTTTTGCTTCTTTTCAGCCCAGCCGGCATCAGGCCGGACTGGAGGAAATGTACAGGTATAGTATGTTTAGGTAGAAAGCAGTAGTAGTATAGTTTAGTTGTAGTCTAGGCAGGACACCGGTGGCAGGCCGTCGTCATGGGCGAGACTTCAAGCGAAGCCCAGATGAAACTGCTTTGTTCCCTCCCGGGAATCGAGCACTCACTGTTAGGAGTGGTGCAGACGCTGTCTACCCTGGCCACAGAATCCGCAGACCGTGCGGCGAGGGTGAGCCGAAGAATTTCAGAGCTATCGTCTGAGGTCAAAGGACTAAAAGAGGAACTGGTCACCCTCAAGGCATCCGCCATTGCGAAACCGATGAGCAGCAGGCCAAAGGCAGTTGGAGCTGGACGCACAACAACGAGCGGCAACTCATCAACGGCTGTCACTGGGGGCAAAGTGCAGCGTCGTAGTACAAACCCAGCGCACCGTAGTAGCACAAGTAGATCTACAGGACACTCTGCAGAAACTCCGTTGACAACGCCTGTAGCAACGGACAGCGCTGGGGACGCGCAGTGTATGGATACCGGTAGCTCTGAGGCCCACGCTGCAGCTACAGCAAACCATACGGAAGTGCATACTGCAGCAGCAACAGCAGACGAAAAGCACAATACCGGCAACAGTGGTCAGGAGGCAAAGGATGTCCAAAGCAAAGGACAGTCCCACGTTGTCCCACCCATGGATGACGAAGATGACGCCTGGACTCTGGTATCGCATGACAAGCCCCGAAGACCTAAAAAGAAAGTCATCTTTGTTGGCAACCTCAAGGCAGGCACAACTGAGGAGCAACTAGCAACTTACTTGCACAGGAGACTTGCTGCTGCTCCACTCCCTGACTTCCCGCTACACAGCGTGACAATACTGGAGAAACGGCCACTCAACAATTCTCGCCTCACGGTGTCAGGGCGGGTCATGATCAATGCACAAGATGCTGGATATTTGCTTGCCAAGAACTTTTGGCCGGGCCGCGTGTACTCCAGGCTGTGGAAGTTTGATGCTGACAGAAACAGCAGTGGGCGAGCCACATCTGGCGAAGATATTGGAGACAGCATTGACCATAGAACATCCACCACCAGTAGTGCGTCTGTGGCCTCTGAAAATGGCAGCAGCACCGGCGCCCAACTCTTTGAGGAGACCACAGGCGACCAACTCCTTCAGGAGACTGAAGGCATCGTGGACAAGCTTCTTCAGGAGACGCGGATGGAGACAGACAACTTGTCTGCCGCACAACCAGCGACAGAAGGTGCATTAACACCACTGCACATCATCCAGAAGAGGAATAGCTCGCACCTCTCCCCTCCTGACGCTGGAGATGCGAAAAGACCACCACCAATCTATTAGATCATGACTAGTTCACATTCCACGTTGAAAGTACTGTCCCTGAACATCTGCAGCCTCCGCCAGAAGCTGCAGGATCTAATGCAACTGGCCTCTACTTGTGCGCCCAATGTAATAGCTGTCTCAGAGACTTGGCTCGATGGTACCATTACAACAGCAGAAATATCCATACCAGGTTACACATGATGAGCTGGGCAAAAAAAGCATAGTATAGGGCCCTGAGCTTCCAATCTCTCTCCTATAATTTTTTATTTAAAGATGCTGAAACAGTCAAACTCAGGAAATATCACTATTATTATCACTCAGGCTGCAATATTCAATGACATATAGACATATTCATAAATGACATATCTTCAATACCCATGAGCTAAATTGTATATGATAATGATATCATTATATCATCGTTCTAGCTCAATTTCTTTCCCCTGTCATAGTCCTGTTTATCATGTTCAGCATAAGCGAAGTTGTGGATCATGCTTGCATGGTTGACTCCAACGCGTACATGCAAGTAATAATAATAATAATAATAATTTAAAGATTAGCTAAGGATACAATTGTAACATGGAAATATGTGGGCGAAGTTATGCGATCGAGTCCACCAACAAAATCAGATTTTGAACAGTCAGACGTGCACAATCTACCACGAAACTGACAAGGAGTACTGACACATTCCAAGGCATGAAAGTCAGCTTGAGCACTGCTCGATATTTCCTTATTCTACGCTCTGCCCCAAAATACTTGGTCCGACTTATTAAAATGTGCGTTTTGCTTCGAACGTCAACCAAACAAATTCAAATAATCGCAGGACGGAATAAACTATCCAGCTACCTAACACTATCCTTCAGTTGTTGATTTGTGATGTTGAAGAAAAATGGCTTCAACTCCAAAGGAGGCAGCGCTTCAGGATCCTAGTCAACTCAGCATTTTGCGTCTAAATTTTGTCGTCAGAGGACTCCTTTTGCTTCTCGCGCAACACAGCGAAGGCCTGGTGCTGAAATCAACACCCCACTGCGATGGGGAATTGCCATGGAGTACCAGAAACTCCTGGGCGATCGTTCTCGAGTGCCTCCTGGCGGATTGAAATCGCTGCAGTCGCTGTTTTCTTGGCAGAATTTCAGCAAACACGTCATCTAGAAACTCGTGCAGAAAGCACCAGCATCGCTCCGTGCAGTTTGCTGATCTCTCTCGCAGTCGTTCACGATGTGGCGGCCGATGAATCAAGATCACAGAAGAGATCGTCGAGAAGTTGATCGATATAAATAACCGCCTTTGAGGTCGACAACCTCTCTGGGAAACTGAAGCACAGAAAGGGTGCACATACGGTGCGTGAATGGTGCGGAGTCCTCGGAGCCGCGATCGCGATGCGTCACAAGAAGATCTCCAGTCTCCGGGGCCAGTGGATTCGTGAAACAGGCAGGGAAGAGCACTCATGGTCTGACTGCATCATGTGCAGGACAGTCATTTCAACGCAAATATATCGGACTCAGTACGCGCGCGGCACACGGAGATTTTTTATGCGTGGTGGTTTACTTGTTCGCCTCATTTGAAGGTGTCGTAGGAGCGTCAGGCGAAAACACCTACAGCCATCATTCTGGCAGTCGTTCTGCACGAGGAGGAGGCGAAGTCGATCATCTAAATCGTGCCTATGGAGTGAAAAATCAAGGAAGCGCAGTGTAGCTTGGAGGAGATGAAAAAATGTCGACGTTTTGCAATTTGAAGCACTTGCAGATGCGCCCTGAGACACCAGAAGCGATGAAAACTAGAAGGTCAGGCCAAGAAACGACACAGTAGTTATCTATCTACCGTCTCTTTGTTGATTTTTTAGTACGGGTGCTCCTTTGTACATATGCTTGAGTTTTGAAGCGAAGCGCACATTGTAATAAGTCGGACCAAGTATGAATGGGTCAGAATCATGCAAACTCATTAAGCTTCTGTGTTGTTACTCTGCTCTCAGGGACTGGCTCAATACTCACATCCTTCGCAGTGAATAACTTTTGGTATGTGGTCATTACAACACTTTCAGCATCATCCAATATCACACATCAGGTGAGGGACATGATAAGAGACATCAGTTATAATCCCTCAGTTAAGATCCTTTTCTTTTTTTCAGTACACCCAACTCGCAACACACGAACAGTCCTTGGCTACACCATGAATTTACAAATTTTCACCCAGGAGGGCATCATCGTGTGTAAAAATTACTGCACATGGTACATCCAAGGACTGTTCTTGTATTGCGAGTTGGATGTGCTGAAAGTGTCGTCTCGGGTTGGGAAACGAGCTGCCTCTTCTACGTTAACGCTCACCACGCCACACATCAAACAGACTAGTCAAATCGGGAGAGAGCTTTTCGTGTACTTTACTTCAAGAGGCGACTGGAGAACTCATAACTAACAACTAACGACAACTAACGACGAACGACTGACGACGGACACTCAGAAAAGACAAGACAACAGATTATAATAGTGAAGGCGTACAATGGGGACAAGACGAGCAAGTGTGTACACAACGGGGACAGAAAACGGTGCAGCCGCACATACGCAGCAGTCAAAAACAGCGCAGCAGCATGTACCACAACTCGGCAGCATGTATAACAAAGAGACACAAAAGCAGCCACATGTACGACAAAGAACTACACATGCAACCGCATGTACAACGAAGAGACACAAGCGCAGCCACAGCGAAGTGTATTAAAAAAAACGGAAGAAGACAGACCAGAGAAGAAGACAGAAATACAGGAGAAAAGGAATGTGGAGCAACATAAACAGGCGACAATAAAACTGAAACGAAGTGTGGCCACAACTGTTGAACGCATGACGAGTAGGCCAGGAGGGTTAACACCAGTCGGGAGCCCCGCAAAACTGTGCACCAATCAACGGAACCTGCAAGCAACAGATTCTGCAGAGGACCCCGGCTGGCGAGCTGTTCGACCTGTGTTTGTCCCTTTGGATCTTGATTATTTGAACAGCACCAATCTAGTACGCCACCCACCCAACAGTCAAGACAAACGAAAGTACAAATGCATGAGGAAACAGGTATGCCGACGGACCCAGCGACGCTGCCAGGAGCGGCGAGACCTACAGCACGCACCGGCCGAGAAGACTGGGGCAGCAGGACGCACACTGGTCGGCTGACCGAAAACCGATGGCGCTACAGAAACTACGAGAAACACAAGGACACACGCCGAAAGAGAGAAGGACTGACGCAAACATCTCAGCCATACCAGGAGCCAAATATCAGACAAGGAAAAAAAAGACAAGAAGAAATGGCAGAATAGCAACGTTGAACACGCCTACGGGAACAGGGGCAGTATATCAATGAGGACACTAGATAGCACACAAACAAATCGGTCACCAATACGCAAACAAAAAATAACGTAGAAAACCACAGGGCGCTACCCTGAATACCCACAAGTCTCTAATCTGAAAAACCCACAGGGATTAAACCTGAAAACCCACAGGGATCGAACCAGAATATCACGCGGAAACACATCCGCTCACAAAAAAAAACAAAAAACCCAAAAATCCGTCCTGGTCCCTACTGGGACGCACAAAGGCCAGCCAGCAAAACACGGAAACCGAACACCCGCAAGGCGAACCGATACAAATATGCCCTGGATCCCTCCAGCCCACCAGGCAGACCGTGGCTCACCATGATCGGAAGCCCACCTATGTGAAATGGAGAGACCCACGTGCCGAAACACAAAGACAAAACAACACGATCACAGAAACATTGCCACCCGGACCGTCAACGAGAATATCAGAAGCAGGTCACACCACTGGGCGACAGCCATTGCACACGATCCGTGGGGCAACCAAGCGGAGCACTAAAACGCTCGACACAAAACATGAATACTATTACTAGGAAAATGAAAATGAAAGTACATGTACCCAAAACTGGAAACGACGTAGTGTCACCACATCGAGAAAATCGACGGGGACATCTACCGAACAAATCGATCGACACAGGATCGGAGCAGTCCGACGACAACGCAACGATGTGTACCAGCGTACAATACAGGGCGAGTAAGCAAACAAGAGCAAAGCTACCCATGCTGACGACCAAGCAACACGACGAGCATGCAGGACTGGGCGGACAACAGAAGGTGTGAAAACACAGTGCACACGACCACGCGAACAGTGACACACACAGCGTTACGTGTGCTACTAATTACAATCATGTACCAACACTCTGGCAACAGGAGCAAGGCGCGAGCGAGAGTACGCGTACACAACTTCACAAGAGAACAACATGGGACTTACTGCGAAACAATTTTTTGAAAATCCCAAATCGAAGGAGAACTATGTACAAGGTACAAAAACATTAAGCAGGGCAGATGTAGGGCAGATGTAGGGCAGATGTAGGGCAGATGTAGGGCAGACGCAGGGCAGACGCAGGGCAGACAAAGGGCAGACAAAGCATGCCCACCTGAGTAGGAGCTCCGAGGATAGGGTTGAACAGACGCAGCAAAGCGGAGCCATGGCGAAAACACGAAGAGGAGACGAAAACACGGCTGATACGGAGACGAACTCAGGGTCGTGGATACGATATGTTGGAACACTGACAACGAACGACTGTCGTCTCGGGTTGGGAAACGAGCTGCCTCTTCTACGTTAACGCTCGCCATGCCACACATCAAACAGACTAGTCAAATCGGGAGAGAGAGCTTTTCGTGTACTTTACCTCAAGAGGCGACTGGAGAACTCATAACTAACAACTAACGACAACTAACAACGAACGACTGACGACGGACACTCAGAAAAGACAAGACAACAGAATATAATAGTGAAGGCGTACAATGGGGACAAGACGGTGCAGCCGCATGTACGCAGGAGTCAAAAAGATGACGACAGCGATGCAGGTTTTTTTGTTTTTACTGGGAACACAGCCCTACAAAGAGACATGTGGAGACAAACACAAGGCAAGACACAGGGGGATGTAGGTACAGTCAAGCGTAAGCGACGCAAACTGAACTCTCTGCTCATTTTGCCAACAGTTTCTCTGGTGAAGACGCTGTACATAAGCTGATACAAACTGTTCTTGACCTGTTCTAAGCGTTTTCATATCCATCAAAAGCCATCACGAAGTTTTTTTCTGAACCCTTTGCATGCTGCCCTGTTTTCCATAGTACTCTGCCACTACAGCGCACAGACTCTCCTGGTGAAGTTTGGGCGCATTGCTCCAAACAAAATTTATTATCAAATCAGTTCATCTGCATGGAATTTCACCATCCTGGGGCTTTTTGGAAAGATCAGGACCAAGCGAATCCATCCTGGGAGCTCTCAGCTCCATAGCCCCACCAGAGCGACGTACACGACCTCTCCAAACTGGCTCACTAGGCCACGGAACAAAACAACAACTCAGTCACACGTTCTTTTCCTCCTCTCTGCTCAAATTCAACCAACTTTCACGATTCAAACTGCTCTGCAAAGCTGAGATCCACACGCTTCGTGGAGAACCGGAGTGCTTCATATTATTTTTCAACCGGTAAAGTTGTAATTGTAAACGCCTCCATCTCGAACAGGCGATAAGCTGCACTGCCAAGTTGTAGCTTGCAAGTTTCTCTAGCAACTTTTTCCTATTTAGTCGGGGCCTCTGTAGTGTCCTGGAAGTCTGGTATGTAAAAAGAGAGTAAAGTGTCGTGTCCGTTCCCAAAGGGAACTCACAATGGCCACCAACACCTAGTAAACTGCATAATATTCTGGACAATAAACCCATCTCTCCTCACTCTCAACACATACGCACCCACACGCACCCACGCATCCACGCATCCACATACACGCACACCCACACACGCACACACGTATGCACGCACTCACTCACACACACACACACACACGCACGCACGCACCCACACCCACACACCCACCGACACCCACACATACACCCGCCCACACCCACACCCATCCACACCCACACCTACACCCCCCACCCACACCCACACCCACACCTACACCCACACCTACCCCTCCCCCCCCCCCTCACACACACACACACACACATAAACACCCCCCCCCCCCTCCACACACACACAAACCATGACCACCACTGCCAACAAAAATTCTTCTCACCTTGACGTATGTTTTTGTTCATTTTTCTTGTCCAGGAGAACTATGATACTCATATTGTAGAGATTGATATGGTGAGTACATGTAGTACAGTTGATAATGTAACACATTACTGCAAGTACCACATTGATCAAACGCACAACATTGGTCAGGGTTGCTTTTCCTAACATTTCTAACTTGGCGTGTGTTCGGAGCCATCTGAAAATATTATTAGAGGGTTTTGCAGAGCGAACGTTCGCAATGATTTTCGCGTTCCGGCTGGCGAAAACTATTGCGAACGTTCGTGCGAAATTGGGTTTGCATGATTTTCGCTCCGAGCAAATTTTGCGTGCACTCGCGCTTGTTTGAGAAGTGGTCTTCATCCGCTTATTTGTTTGTTGCAAGTAGTGGCACCCTGAGTCACTGCCTGAGACAAGAGCTCTTTGACTACGTTGTCCATGGCCGGAGACCCACAGACAAACGGGTTGGCTTGTGCCGTAATCTGGTGCATGAACACCAGAAATTCAAAAAAGGGCATGATTGATGTAGACAAAGAGCAGTGAGAAGACGAGCAGGCAGGATCTAGGAAAAAAATCGGAGATGGTTCCAGAGATGAAGCAACACGGGTTGCCCCAAGTATGGGAAAGCTAGCACTCGCGGACTAAGCCAAGAGTAGAGATGAAGCACAAAAATTAGGATTGAGGGTGGCTCACCATGCACCAACGGGTCGGTGCACCGGTCCGCAAAAAACGGAAACTACTGCGAAAGTTTGTTTCGCTTTTCCTGCAACTTTCGCGTTCAAAGCTGCGAACATTCCCACGGACGTCAAACGAAAATTCGCGCGAATGTTCGCTCTGCAAAACCTCTCTATTGAAATTTTAATGATAGCTTGCATAGACCTCTGTCCTACCCGTATGACCTACCAGCAGGACCATCATACACAGAAATGCTGCAAGGTTTCTGTTCTAACATTAATTTTCGACACGATAGTACAAGGCATATTACGAAAAACCATGGCGATAGCCCCTGGCAACCATAGAAACGAAGTGTCGAATTTTGCACTCCACTGCCATGTAAGGCTAAGAAAGATAATATGTTTTCACCACGATCGATGTTCCATAGACAAAATTTACTCTGGACATAGTTGCCCACACAGCGACTGGAGCATGCATGGCCATTTTCAAAATTTGGTAAATACTGCACTTATACAATGCACTGGACGTAGTCTTGCATTTAAGCTTCTTTTTTTTAAGAAAAAGTTCATCCAAAAGGACTTCTGCGGCTTTATTATTGGGTCCTACCGGTAGGGCGGCATACAAGCTATCATTAATTCCCGAAGTTATGCCAAAGACCTTACCTTTGTAGCGTCTGGCTCTAGCCAGGGTCCACGCTGCTTTATTTCATATTAATTTTGTGTGTGTGTGTGTGTTTCCTGTCGGGCATGTCTGGCGCTATCCCGTACATGTCCCGTACCGTACCGTCCAAGACGGCTGGCTGCAATATTCGAGTAGGGGTTTCAATGGTAGGACCATGGTAGGACCATGGTAGGTAGCAACTTGGTAGAATGTGCATATACATGTGTCAGAAGTGTATTGAGGGAATGCATGCATGCAGGACGATAGTGCCTGGCCAAAGTTGTGTAAAAAAAAACAGAAAAAAAAGAAGAAGAAGAAAAGTATAAGGTAGCACCACAAGGATTATTGAGGAGACAAACAATTTGTAATGGATAGAAATCATGTGTACACACTCATACCACTCATAACTTTGAACCTTCCAAGTTGGAAGGCTGTCGGTTAGCGCTACGGAGATGTGTTGAAGTTAGGTGTCAGGACGTCGAATGTTTCAGTATTCTGCCAGTTTTGTGCCTAGTTATTGCACTTTCTGACTGTATATAGTATCATGTTACAGTGATGGAGAGTTACTCTTGACTCGTATCCATATGTCTTTTCTCTTCCACATTTATTTATGGCTCAACAGCCGAGTTTCAGATAATGTTGTGAACCCTCTGGTTCTCGAAAGTATCAGGAACGAACGACCCCACACGGCACGAGGACAACTATTTATTCTCAACAGTATATTTCACTTCCATCGACTAACAACACTGAACAATGAATGACTGAATGAACAACTGAAACTAACTGAATAACTAACACTAAAACCACCAGGTAGTTATAGCATGAAAATGACAGCGTATATGAGAAAAGCATACACATACAACATACAACTACAGCGCACACAGCAAACCGCACATAGCGCCTGTAGCGTATGCCACGTCGTAAACATCAGCGGTACGGCAGAGTCGGGATACAGCTGCATTGAAACGAACACAATGTCACAAGCGAGAAGGCCTTTCACTCTCGAGAACTTGTCGTTTCACAACAGATAATAATAATAATAACGAACGTTTTGTTCATTGTAATACTTATTTCAATAATGGACGGAAATGAGGGTCGGGATGGCCGGAGAAAGCGCTGGTCGGAGGAAGAAGTGAGAGTGTTGGCTGAGTGCTACGCAATTGCGACGCCTGGAGGTGTCCAGTCTCGTGGGTACATGAGACGGATGCACGATGCTTGGTGTAGCAGGGGCCTGGAGAGACAGGTAACCGAGGTGAATTTGGCCAACTAGTTGCGCGAAATTCGGAAGAGCAGACGACTCTCCTCCGCCGATGTCGGGGCCATTCGTCAGCAGTGCACGGCAGAAGAACCAACAAGGACGGAGACTAGTCCAGAGGCGTCTCGGGATACGCTTGGTGAGGGAGCCATGGCGACTGAAGTGCTAGGTGACCGTTGCCTGGCGGGGTGCAGTGGTGGTGCCGGTGCTTCTGCTACTGGTACTACTGGTGCTGCAGCTAGTGCGGGTGCTGCTGCTGCTGGTGCTGCTGGTGCTACTAGTACTGACATGACACCGCGTGGCCAGGCTGTGTGCGCTTGTGCATGTGGAAGTAGTTCACCCCGCGGTACGTGTGGATCTACATGTGAGTTACCTGGTACCAGTACTAGTGATGACAGTGGTGATGTGGCGTGTGGTGTTGAACCCAATCTACCAACTGAAGAAAACCCCACCAACACTGATGCTGAGCAGTACAACCTGGAAGATGAGCTGCTGCCCGAAGAGATTAGTAATGTAACGGAGGAGTTGGAGAAGAGGTATCATGCAGAGGTCGTGGCCGACATGGCACAGCGACAATGCCTCCCTAATCCAACAAAAAAGCATGTACAAAATAAATTATTATACAGTGTTACCGCCATGGTCAACTCTCAGCTCAAGCTTGTGTGTCGCTGGCTACTTCCTGATGGTGAGGCGTCGCTCCATGAGATCAATTGCCTCGTGTATGCTGGTGCTTGCGTTTGCATATCGACTATCCAAGGCAGTCAGAATCATCCGACTGGCAATGCCAACCAGAACGGAAGTGACGAGGACCTTCCGCCGCAGTGGCAGATCCGATTGACAAAGGAAATCGATCAACTCCGCTCGGATGTTTCCCGACTCACCAGCATGCTACGATATCCATCGGAGAAACATCATGACTTCTGGAGGAGATATGAAGTTGAAGTAGGAAACACAGACGAGTTGGAAGTGAAGCTACAGGCAAAGAAAGACTTCTTGCACTAGCAGCCAGGATGCGTCGATACCGAGAGAATGAAAAGGCCAAATAAGCTAACAAAATGTTCCAAATGAATGAGCGTGCTTTCTACCGGACGCTTCGGGAGCCTGCAAACTCTGCTAGTGGTGCTTCAAATCGATTGGAGACGCCGCAATTTCCAGAGGCGGGTGTAGCCACCGAATTCTGGAGTGATCTTTTGTCTACGCCTGCGCCGTTCACCGCTGGTGAGTGGTATGTAAGGCAAGCAGAATATTATGAAGAACACGTCCCTGTGCAGAGTAGCGCAGTTATCACCCAGGACATCCTGGCAGACTGCCTGCGCAAACTGGCCTTGTGGAGGGCTCCGGGCCATGACAAGTTGCATGGGTACTGGTGGAAGAGGCTGACAAGCCTGCATTCTTACCTTCGGAGAGCCTTCCAGAGGGTGATAGATCGCCACAGTGACATTCCGGGATGGTTGACGTCTGGCGCTACTACTCTCCTTCCGAAGGCTTCTCCACCTTCGGCAATGCCCAAAGATTATAGACCAATTACGTGTCTTCCGATACAGTACAAGCTCTTTACCGCCACCATATCAAAGATTATGTGGCAGCACATCAATCAACATAAAATACTTGCAACGGAGCAGCGCGGTTGTGCAGCAGCTGGTCTTGGTTGCAAGGAGCACCTGATGGTGGATAAGATGATTCTGAAGGATGCCTATACGAAAGGGCGAAATTTGGTCATGGCATACCTGGACTTCAAAAAGGCGTTTGATAGTGTGTCGCATGAATGGATTCTACATGCTTTGACGATGTATCGATTCCACCCGTCTCTGGTCGAAACTATTGCTCGTAGCATGCAGAACTGGAGAACGACAATGCACATATGCGACCAGGGAAGATGCAGGGTCACTACCGGCAACATATCTATAAGAAGAGGCATATTTCAAGGTGACACATTATCCCCGTTACTGTTTTGCCTGGCGCTAAACCCAATCAGTTTTGAGCTCAACTGATTGCCTTTGGGATACAGAATCAGCTGCAGAGACGCCGAGTTGACTATCAATCACTCTTGGTACATGGACGACATTAAACTCTATGGGAAAACTACAAATGATGTGACTACCCTCGTGTCTACCGTGTGTGGCGTTGGTGATGACATCGGCATGAATCTCAACCCGGCCAAGTGTGCCGTGCTGCACGTCAGGAGAGGAAAACCAGATGAAGGATGCTCTATCCAGGTTGGCGATGGGACTATTGCAGAGTCGCTACGACTCAATAAAACATACAAGTACCTTGGAGCAGTGCAAGCAGCCATGATACCTCACCCGCAGCTCAAGACGCAACTCACTGCAGAATACAAAAAGAGATTACATTTGCTTCTTAACAGTGGATTGAATGCGAGAAACATGATCAAGGCCATCAATACTTATGTTCTGCCGGTTATGACATATAGTTATGGAATCGTAAATTGGACTGAGGCTGAAATAAAGACCACAGATCGAGTGACAAGATCAGCCTTGACTGCGTCTGGATTTCACCACCCCAAAGCCTCAGTCAACAGGCTCTACATGAAGAGGGGAGATGGAGGCCTCTTCCTTCCCCTATTTCTTGTCCCTTTTTTGTGTTTTTTTTCACTTTCTTTTTGCTGTTACTAAACAAAGATGTGTTGCTGTTAGCCAGTTAGTTGTAGAACGTCAGTACCGTCGATCAGTGTTGTGCAATGGTATCGCATGAGCTGATTGTTAAGTAACTGGTGGTGTTAGTGAATAGTATAGCGTAACTTGTAGTTCCTTGGTCTTTCTCTTTTGTATAAATAATAATAATGGCTCACATACTGATGACTTCAATTTTTTCCTTTTTTGGACTTCTTCCTCTTCTCCTTGTTAGCCGTGGTTGGCTATAAAAAGTAAAAACCCTGCAAACGCAAAGTGGTCATTGGCTACCCCAGCCATGTATTGCTTCGAATATGATAATAATTATATAAAAATTACACATTTCGCTCCCCACTCTGAACACGCTAACAAATGAATACAGGAGTTACACAAAAGTGATAGCAATCTAATTTTTGAACTTTTTTTGCATGCAATTTCTCACCACTCTGACCTGCAGACGGCCACGATGTTTAAGAACGTTCGCACCATACCAATGACTTGTGTCGAACAAGTAGGTTATAACAAACACACGTACTACAAAGCTAGTAAGTGTAGCCATACTGTACTTAACCCTTTGAGGACGACGGCCGAGTACTGAGTATACACACACAACAGAGGCGAAAGGCTGTGTTAGCTGTTGCAGTAAAGTTTCACGTATCGGAGCGATCATCAGACAGCAGCATTCGGTTGATGATCGCTCCGATGCGTGAAACTTTAAGTTACAGCTAACACAGCCTTTCGCCTCTGTTGTGTGTGTATACTGCTCTGTACATTCGTACATTGAGCACTCTACCTCGAGCTTCCTAGACCGGCCTTGTTTGTTAAATTAGAGTATATGCGCTTTTAACCCTTTCCATGCCAACATTTTCCTGTGTTGGCCACGCATTTGCTCAGGTGCTGAGCTGACCTGTTCCAAGCTGCACGCGCAGCTCAGAACGAAATGTATTCCTATTTCACTGTACCTTGATGGATTTTCACGATCCATGGCTTGTTGGAAAGATTTGGACTCCGGAAAGCCATTTCAGGGACTCACAGCGCATACCAGGGCCACTTCCATCTCCTCTCCAAATTCCCCTACCATGCCTGAAAATAACAAACTCTCATGTTTTCTTTCATCTTCTTGTTCATAGTGAACAGATTTTCACGATTCAAAACTGCGTTTGTGGAAGCTTACTGCGCACTAGCCATTCAGCTACACCCTACATTTTTCGATTTTCACGATAGTGCAATATTTGAATGAGTTATGGCTGTTTGAAGTCATCGACGGAATACCGTCGAAATTTGTATAGTGGGGAGCCAAAGGGTAAAATCCCTACACACCCGCAGAGCCCCGTGCAACACACCCGAATCTCTGGATGCATTACTGCAGCGTTCTGAAGCTTACGCCGTAAAACGCGTGAAATCTACAGCTTCCAGGAGACGCGTAACATTGCTGTATCGCGTAAACCTGCCTCAATGAGACGATTAGCAACGGAGAGCTACATATACCTGGCTATTCATTTCTAAGGCGCGATCGATCAACCGGCATGGGTGGCGGTGTTGCGTTTTACCACAAGGAGAGCCTCATAGTCAGTCGCCACAGAGAAGCCGAACATACCGACATAGAAAACATATGTATAGCCCTACGCACCACACGCAAAGATCGGGTGCTTTTACACTTCATGTATCGCCCACCTTCTGCAACGGCGGACTTCTGGAGAGCCTTCGAGGATAGCATGACCTGTCAAGCGGAGGATAGATTCATTGTCATGGGCGACTTCAACGTCGACATGCTGGGTCACTCACCCACCCTACGGTCATTCCACCAATTGTTGGACAGTTATAATCTTACCAACATGATAACTATTATTACAGGGTGCGACAGCGACAGATCTCTCGGCCATTGAAGAAAATTTTGAGTCAACTCCACCATTATGTCACGTCTTGGATGCGATGATCGCGGTTTGACAGGCCCTGTGACAGCAGGATGTGTGTAGTGCGCAGCTCTGGGTTTGAGCTGTCACAATCTATACTATCACGTGGTTTGGCCAGTGTCTTGTCCCACCGCCGATCTTTCCCTGTATGCGCAGTAGGTCGTGTTCAGGTTCATTACCGACGCTGACGTTGCTGACATGACACCTTTCTGCAACGGGACAATTTCCTACAGCTATGGGTGTCTCCGGCTCCGTAGGTTCCTGGAGAGCAACGTCTTCAACCTCCAGAGCTCCGAACCGGTTAGCGACTGGTACCGGCGTGGGTGCTTGGGTCGTCGCCAGTAACCGCACCCCCTTTCTTACTGGCGACCAGCGTTTGGGTAGCGCTGTCCACCCTCAGTACAGTCTTTAGCGAGGTGGCCTGGCTTACTGCAAGCAAAGCAGTGTCCCATTGCTCGCAGTTGGACACGCTCTTGGTCCGTCAGCTTGCGGAGGCCCTGACCACGGAAGCTGGGTACGGAACGTGACTCTCTACTGGCGGGTGGCCCCGACCCGGTGGCCCTGACGACTGCTCCACAGTGTTTGCTGCCATGACAGCTTGCTCCAGGGTACGTGGATGCTCACACATGACCTGTCGCTGGATGTGCGGCACTAGACCCCTGACGAACAGCAGCGCTCTGGTGTGGTGGTCGATTTCCGGCACTTGCAGCCTGAGGCGAGTGAAAGCAGCAATGTATGCGTCCAGCGACCCGCGCTGCGCTGCGGAAATTAGTCCCATACGCGATGTTTCCTCGTTGTGCCGTGGTCCGTACACATCGCCAAGTGCCGCTTTCAGAGCAGGCCAGTCGGAAAACACTTGGTTTACTTCCAATGCCGCTATCAACCAAAGACGAGCGTTTCCAGTCAAAACTCCTGCCGCGTAGTCGACCCTCTGTGCCGCATTTGGGAGTGCCAACGACCGTAGGGCCATGTCCATTGCAAACGTCCATTCTTTGAATGTAGCGGAATCTCCTCCAAACACAGGCGGCACTTTCGTAAGGCGGGGTGTTGGCTCCCACGGTTCCGAGTTCGGATGTATCGTTCGGTTTCCTTGGCTAACGCGCTGAGCGGTTTATCAGCCGAACGACGAGTACGAGGAGCGTAAGCAGAGCAACCAGAACACCTGCCAAGAGCAGAGTACTAACCATCTGCTTGCTACCAGTGTAACAGGTTTAATCGAACTTGAAAAGTAAGAGGCCTGGTTGAGCGTGCCTCGACCAGTTATATGCAAAAGGTGATAGTATACATGTGGCAATGGCGCCAACGAAGGTTCTAATAGACAGGCGTAAGACGCATGAGGTGCGAGGGAGTGTAAAGTTATAGCGAACTGGGGAAAACTGTTACAGGGATCGGATAAAGAGAAATCAAAGTTTAGCTGCTTGCTGAAATAGTAGCGATGGTAATAGGGAATTTATCACATAGGGTGGGTACAATTGGCTACACGTTTATTACATCGTTGTTTTCTACTGCAAACTATGGGTCCGAAAGTTGTTTCTCTTCCGGAAATGTTCACCTAGTCTTTGGATGTTGTTTTCTATGTACGCAGCTGCAGCAGAGTATGTTCCACAGGGAACAAGATCATCCACGCTTGCGAGTTCGGCAGTCATAATGGCTACTTTTTCCACACCAGGAAACAAGTAAGTCTGTCTGGCTGTGTTGCTCTTTAGCAAAAAAGTACACAAGTCCTCTATGTTCAGCCGTTATACGGACCTGATTCCTTATTAACCTTATATTACCGACCTGCAGACTTTCGATCATACCGGTTACGAGCCAGCGCAATGGAAAAGGGACAGTATCCCCAGCACTTGATTTTGAGAAATTTGCACTTGAAGTGAATCAGCTGATTTCCGGCTGTCACGTCCTGATTGAACTTGAAACTGTGCATTTTTCGGTGATACGGGATTTCTTTGGAGCAAATTAACTCTGTGTACAGGAGAGCCAGTATCCTACAGCTCACGTAGAAGAAAACCCTGCGTAAATCGACCCACGTACCACACATTGGCGATCAAAATCGATGAATCGAAAGCGTGACCTCCGCTGCACGCTCAGCAAGCTACCATGAGCTACCGCAAATGTTTCGCCGTCAACGAAGCGCTGAAATCTCTCCTGGCGTGGGAGAAGATGAGGCTGAATTTGTTGGCGAGGAAGAGAGCGCTTTAAAAACTCAAATCAATCTGACGACGGGAACGATGACTCGCGATGACCGAAGTGAACATTATCTTGAACAGCGAGTCGACATGGACGCAGCAGCAGAACTGAAGGTCATCTTGACTGCGCCCAAACCTTCCCAGGCTACCTAGAACCTCGGAAGGTACATGTACGCAACAGTTCTCTCCTTAACCTTGAACCTTCCGAGTTGGGGGGCTGTTGGTTAGCGCTACGGAGATGTGTTGAAGGTAGATGTCAGGTCGTCGAATGTCACAGCACTCTCTCAGGTTTGTGCCTAGTTGTTGCACTTTCTGACTATTATAGTATCTAGTTACAGTGGTGCACTGTTACTCTTAACTCGTGTCCATATGGAAACACTTTTCTCCAGGTTCGGAGACTCCACTGTAGCCAATACTTGAATCCATACATCCTGTACACACACCTTGTACACACTCTCTCTAACGGTCTCTAGGCTACACTGCAATTGATATACATTAGTTCAAATTTTCGGGCAAGGCCCATCATCAGGAAAATGGCAGTAGGGGGGGGGGGGGGGGTGGGCCTTGCCCAAAAATTTGAACTAATGTATATCAATTGCAGGGTAGCCTAGAGACCGTTAGAGAGAGTGTGTACAAGGTGTGTGTACAGGATGTGAGCCAGAGTGCGCTAAAACATGCCCACAGCATTTTTTTGAAAAAGTCGAGAAAACCGCGATTTGAATTCTGCGGCAAAAAATACGAAGTGCAGTGCAACGCGAGTCGCTGTTGTTGTTCTCCTCGGTCGACTGGACTGTTCCGGATGCATTTCTTTGTTGCAAGTAAGTTTATTCCCGTAGCTATGCAGAAGACGTTACTTCAGTAACGTCTGGCGCTAGCCTGGGTCCACACAGCTTTAATTTGGTGTTTGTTTGTTTGTGACGGACAGACCTCCGTCTGGCGCTATCCCGTATCTGTCCCGTACCGTACCGTACCATCAAAGACAGCTGGCCACAAAAAGCTCGCCACAATATTCAAATAGGGCTTTCAAATGCAAGATAATAACGTGAAGCAACTTGGAAGAATGGGTATGATTGCGAAGTGTATGGGGGAATGCATGTAGGGCGATAGCGCGGGTTCGAATCCCTCGATATGCCTGAAAAAAATAGGAGAATTTAAAAATTTATCCTATGCTTTTTTGCCGTCATATACAGATAGCGCCAGGCGTGACACAAACAAACAAACAAACACACAAACACACAAACACCAAATTAAAGCTGTGTGGACCCTGGCTAGCGCCAGACGTTACTGAAGTAAAGTCTTCTGCATAGCTACGGGAATAATACCATTGTAGCAACACTTAGACATTTCAGATCAATCCAAAACTTTCAGACAGTGAACATTAGGTGTGTTTGATCATTTTTTAACCAAAATCAGAAAGTCGAGCTTTTGGTCTGTGGTCATATTTTAGCGTGCTCTGGCTCATGTATGGATTCGTTTCCATATGTCCTTTCCTTTCTACATCTTTTCCTTTTCCTTATATTTTTTTTTGTGGCCGGAGTCGATCTCACGTAATAAGGCAACACTGCCTGTTTGTTCTTTGACATTAAATAAACGCTATAATCCTTTTCGGGTTTTCCTGAATATAGAATCTTACTCAATCTGCAGACGGAACTGTTTAGTCTTTTGTGGATTCACCAATGCAGCACAGAGAAAATGAGGCCGAACCTGATAGTAGTGAGAAACGAATTTTCCAAAGCCAGACGTACCTTGCCAGAGTGCTCAAACTAACAAGTCAGTGAGCTCTGCGTAACGCAAACTTCAAAGGCACTACCCCACACAAGAGTGGTCAACTACTACAAGCGAAATACTCAATCTGCAGATAGAACTGTTTCTTCCTTTGTGGACTCATCAGCGCAGCACAGAGAAAATGAGGCCAAATATAAATTCAAAATTAATCAAAATTTAAAAGGGTAGTTTGGAGGCGGTGAACATGGTTTCGTAATCTAGCCCGACCTTCGTGAAGTAGGCTTCTCCCCCTGGCCCCCGCCACACAACAACGCAAACTCTTGATTGTATCTTCAATACTTATTATACCGAGAAATGACGAGGGCGCAGGAGGAGAGAGACAAACTTTGTGAAGGGACAAAACGACGACGGGAAAGGCTCCCGGGAAAAGACTCTGAGAAAACAACAAAGAACAAGCAGTAATAAACCGACGACAAATCGAGACGACCAATCAGGGACCAATACGTACAGAACACATGACCAAGACCAAGACAACCAGACTACGGACGAATCACACACAACTCTCATTCCCAGACCAAACTAGCACTGCGCATGCACAGCATTCACTTGACAGTCACTCTTACACAGACGGAAGCACAACCTCACACTCTGACAACTCGTACTCTTGCATGCACCACATACCATAAACGTCACACACCACACCACACCATACTCGCGCGTACACCTAGACCAAATATGACATCAGACACTGGACTCCACAAGAAAAGAATCAGATACAACATGCGTAAATCATAGTCGTAATACAAATTCGCAACATTCGCATGCAAAGACGCAAATGAGGAAACACTAGTCACACTTTCGCGAGGTGTGACATCAAATAACGTCAGTGATAACACCCCCCCCCCATCGTGAGAATAAAATATTTCAATTCCAACAAAACACATTCTCCTTCTGTACACATAGTGTTGGATCTAACGAATATACAGAGCTTCTAACACAGCAAGATGTAACTTAGACCTTCCACGAGTTAAAATCTAAAACATATCATCACTATGCAATTTACAACAACTTTCACCTACATTACGGCTCCCTGAAATCCAGTGACCTGCGAACACTGGCCTGCGGAATGGTGCATGGTACACACTTTAGTGACTCTACTCCGTTTTATTGAGCAGAACTGGGCCTCCGTCTTCGCATCCAAAACTCTGCATCTAAAATGAAGCTGGAATGCCTCTTCAACTGGGAGCTGCTAAAAATTCTCTTCTCAAGGTTTTACGTTGGAGACACACAAAACGGAGGAAAAAACTATATTCTATGTGTACTGAGCCATGCTGCACACAAAATGGCACTGCTAAAGTATCACTTATACCCGAAAAGGATTACAAGTTGCCACAGGACAGCTGGAAGACTGGGCTGGTGCGATACAGTAACAGATTTCATGGATGGCTCCTTCCGCACTTTGACATTCGTCGAGTGGAAATCCGCTCCACGATCCTGGAATATTTCGGAGTTCTGGACACATGGTATCTCAGCTCGCTTGGTGATTATGATTATAAATGATGTAGCAGTCTCTTTTTTTTTTCACTGCTACTCAGTCTTTTTTTCTTGTCGGTGATTTGAAAAGGTACGTGCACGGTGACGCGAAACTAACTTCCTCCGTTAACAAAGACTTCGGGATGGATTTTGATGGATATGAAAATGCCTAGAACAGGTCAAGAACAGTTTGTATCGATTGTAATTTACTGGATGAAGGTAGTTCAGCCTATGTACAGTGTCCTTACAAGAGAAACTGTTGGCGGAATGAGCAGAGAGATCAGTTTGCGACGCTTTCGCTCAACTCAATTTTGACCCTGCGTCGCTGTTGTCATCTGCTGCACGCGTGTCGTCATCTCTCTCTCGTCGTTGTTCAGCTCGTTTCAGCCTTGCCTTGGCTTCTTTGATCACACTCCGCTGAACTTTGGTGATGTCGCTTTCGTTCAAGTTGGCTTTCAAGCTGTGTGATCCGCCGCGGTGGCGATTACTCGTTTCCAATAGGGAGTCGTAAAAATATTTTACGACTCCCTGGTTTCATCTCCACTCAAAACGAGGAGTAAAGGCACAGAATTCAGAATTATTTAATTATGCTGTGCGATCGGAGCAGGTGCTTGTTCATTCGATCATTGTGTAGGCTCGCTGCTCCGTTCCATCGCTCTCTATCACTCTCAAACTCAGTGCTAGAGTAGTAGAGAGGCCAAGAAGCACTATATCCCCTCGGAGAAGTGGTATTTCAGTTTTGCTCGCCATGACTGCCATCACCTATCTTGCCACAGTGCAACAATTGAATCCGCTCGGCTTGTTGTGAAAGGTCGCTTCCCTTGCATCGTACCTCTTTCATGACATGCCAGGGAAGGCCGAGAAAGTGATCGCAACTCATTTCCCGGCAGTTTGTGCGCAAACCAGTCCCTAAAAATCCATCACGAAGTTTTTGTTTAAGGTGGAAGTAGACATAACTTGGTGCGGCCTTTTGGTTGGAAGTAGAATGAAATTGGCATGGCACAACCAACGAGGCAAGGGCGGTTTACAATTTCTAGAATCAGACTCAAAGACTCATCATTGTCAGGAAAATATTTCCCTCTTCTCTCCATTGAGCAAACTCACAGAACATTGGAGTGTAGCATGTGGCCAGCAAATCAAGGTACGAGTGTTGCCAACGTAGCCAGTGCACGGCGAAAGGAGATAGTGTGTTCCATAACACAGGGGTTTTATAGTATTGAATATGGAATTAATATTTGACAAGAGAGTAGACAAGAACGAAGGAGAACAGAACAACAACAACTCTAGAGAACCACTGGAGTATGCGCTCTTCTATACGTGAGAGGCTCTCATTGCTATGGGGAACGAGCGGGAAATACGAATAGTGTGTATGTACCTTCCTATTATGAATACACATAATGTGTATTCATAATAGGAAGGTACATACAGTCTTCTCCTTGTACCTTCTTGTTTTCCCACACTTGTAATATTATTACAAGTGCGGGAAAACAAGAAGGTACAAGGAGAAGACTGTAAACTCAGGTGAATGCGAGAGACGAGGTGGTGATAATCAAGAATGAAGAAAGGAAGATCAAAAAGAGAGAAAGAGAGCGAGAGAGAGCTAGAGAACGAGGCTTTCTAGTAATCGTATGTAATATCTCACAGGCAAGCAGTCACCGTACATTATACTGTAGACATGCAAGAAGCAAGCAGCAAGCCAAAACGGAGCAATGGCAGTGCACACTATGCAGATAAAAAAGCGACATTGACAGCGACAAGCAACAGAAAGCTAGGGTGTAATTCTGATGTACAGGATATTTTGCCACCGTTAGAGGACTAGTGACTGGTAGATGCATTGAAGCACATCAGATAATTATCTTGTAATGTTTCGAATCAAGCTTTCTTTGACAACATGCAGGGACCTTGTGTAACCATAGGCGCTTTGCCATCTTGTTGCCTTGCTTTTGTCTTCTTCACAGTCAGAACATGTTCAGGGGTGGGTCTGTGCTCTGCTCTGCTCAAGCAAGCAACTTGAATGATGTAAGTTGAAGAAGTTTTGTAGATAGTGTCTTGAGCCACCAGGTATAGGTCAATGTGCTGCCCTTCGGCTTTTAGTACCGTGCTTTACTGTGTGTTAGCCGCACTATAAAATGCATAGAATGCTGAATATTAAACGGCCAGCGCTACAGCATCCATGACATAAATGATTATTAATGTATATGTACATGTATGATGTCATTTAATTACTTAACATGCACTGAAAACCATCAATGTTTCAAGCACAACGCTTCTACTTTATCCGGAAACAAAAACTTCGTGACTTTTTCACATGACTTTTCAAGGAGTAACTGTACTCAACAAAAGTGTTCTATGGGAAGAGAAACTCTTCAGCACGCTCAATGAACATGTTTACCATAATTATCTACAAGATCGATTGATGGGAATAGAGTCTCAGTGTAAGTCGCCATCGCTCGATTCAGCACGGCTGGAACCAACCAAAGTGGGAGGTCAATCGACGTGTTCTCGCATGTCACGGAGCAGCTTCTCCGCGTCCCTGATCGTCTTTGCTGTTACTAGTACGTGATTTCCACCAGTGCCTTCCCTAGCATTTAGATGGAGACCGCGATGGCGATGGTACTCTGGTATCGCCTTGGCTCTCAAGAATGCCCCGGAACGACGCGTACAGGCAAAGCCAAACATTTCGCATTTTTCTCCACATTGTAGTCGTCCCATCATGTCACGACAGCTGTGAGGAGATCTTGCTTGTTCTCCTATGCTACCAAGGAGACATCGGAGTGGAGGCTGCTGAAAAAGGCAAGATCTTCCATTGAAAGATGACTTCGATTCTCAGCTTTGCTGCGCCGCGCGAAGTGACGAGTGTCACATCTTCGCGTTTGGAGTTTTGACATCTTGCCGACCTGTTCTGACTTTGGCTGGTGTTTTTGGGGATGGAAAAGATTTCAAAACGCTCGCTGCTATTCGTTTCACACTCTTCTGGCTCCTTAGTGCCATTGTCCTGCTCTTTCTCATGCTGAACCAAAAACTAGCAGCGATGAACAGTGAGCGCAGTGCTTGTGTGGGTAATGTACCTGACAGACAAAAATGCAAAACATCACCGCTTGGCTTGGTTTACAGCACGAAACCTTTGCCTTGCAATGACTGTCGGCTTTCCAGAATGCGAATCATGCCTTCCTACTGTTCGGAAATGTCATCTGTTGGTGTTTCAGGCCGACAGAGCCACACAGAGAGCGACAGAACAGCTGCGAAAATTAGTGAAAAAGTCACGAAGTTTTTGTTTCCGGAGGAAGTACATGTTTTCAGCTCTGAGTGAAGGAAAACTGCGAACTGCACATATATGCAGAAACTTTTATCGATCAAAGATGTTCGATAAATTCTACATTTTCAAACATTTTCAATGTGGAGTAACCTGGTCAATTGTCGGTCGTTTCGAGAGAAAGAAATATGAAGGAAGGCAAGAAAAGTCTTAGTTATCATCTCGAACAATCGCCAGCAAGCAGCGCAATATCCAGGCCTGAAGCTCTGGCAACTGCGCTCACATTGCCACTATGTTCTGCAGCCTCACCGGAGACGACAGCACCACCTGCCCCACAGGCCTTGGATTCGCTGTCACCGCCAACATCTCGTCCAAATGTATTCCGCGAGGGCGTATAGACCAGAGCTGACCGTTGGGTCAAGCTTGCAGGGAAATCACTAGAAGCTGACATCTGAGTCATCGAGTCATGCATCACCACGAGTCATGCATCACCACGAGTCATGCATCACCACAAGTCATGCATCACCACGAGTCATGCATCACCACGAGTCATGCATCACCACGAGTCATGCATCACCACGAGTCATGCATCACCACGAGTCATGCATCACCACGAGTCATGCATCACCACGAGTCATGCATCACCAAATGAGTGGCTTCCATTGCTACCAGATTGGCATTGTCTACAAACTTGTGAACATTTGATTTTTTTCTTCTTCTTTCCCCTTATTGGTCGAGTGTACATTGTAACTCATTGTGTTCTGCATTGATCCTCAAGTTTGGGTCACATTGCTTTACACTATTTCAAATAGTACCAGGGCTGTTAGAGTCGGTACGACTGGTACGACCACTTCTGGTGAGCGGTGATCACCGTGAAACGATCAGAAAACAATAAAAAAAGTTTTGTCCAGCTTCGACCGGCGCGCTCGTTGTACCTGTACCCCTAGGCCCTGTACCCCTAGGCCCTGTACCCCTAGGCCCTGTACCCCTAGGCCCTGTACCCCTAGGCCCTGTACCCCTAGGCCCTGTACCCCTAGGCCCTGTACCCCGAGGCCCTGTACCCCTAGGCCCTGTACCCTGTACCCTACAGCTACAGGCTGCAAGACTCTTGTTCTAAGTATCTTTTTGAGTGTACGAGTCGTAGCACTTCAAAAAGTCCTCATGTACTGTACAGTAGATCTCTATGCACCCTAATTGCCGCTTGTCGCCTGAAAAGTACTACCTGTACTTTTGTTGACAGCCTAGTATGCTGTACAAAGTTCAAGATATGCATCAAGGGTGTTTTATATTCCACGGAATCACAATTGTTTCTAACACGGGGGTTCCACCCCCGAAAGGGGCTCTACCCCTTGACCCGCGCTCAAAAATATCAAAGACAAGTACAGAAGGGGAAGCTTTGTGCAAAAACGAATTGTACAAGCCAAACGCCAAATTCCTACAGTACTCCTCATGCATGACATTGTGATTGACTAGTTGACTACAAAACAAGTTGCTTCACACGATGTACATTTTCTCTCAATACTCTGTCAATTTTGTGCTAAGTTGTTGCACTTTCTGACTATATGATAGTATGTAGTTACAGTGGTGGAGAGTTACTCTTAACTCGTTAACAATATGTCCTTTTTCCTTTCTACGTTTTTCTCTTTCTTCTTTTTTTCTTTTTGAGGGAAGGGGGTAATGTGGATATCGTACATGCAGTTGTATGTAGTGCTATGTATGCAAACTCCCATACTTAGGCCTTGTCGACTTTGATGTAACAGCATCCAATTGGTCAGGCTTGGAATTCAGCGAGGCAGTACCAGTAAGCTGCTTGAGCAGAGAAGACGTAGCCTACTGAGAACGCCTACTGAGAACGCGGGATATCCAAAGCAGTATCCAAGATGCTCAAGCTGTCTCCAAGTTCCAAGAGCTTCTCCTGAACATAATGATGACGAGTGCTAATAATTATTTGCTCGGTCAAATGCGTGTGTAGCTCAGCTCGATTGGCAAACTTACCACTTCCCTGCTGACAGGAATGCATCGATTGACTCAGAGTTCAGCTGCCTCATCTTCTGAAACTCCTATCTGGACAGCCAAGAGTTGACTTTAGGCTGCATGTGTTTTTCGAAACGATCGTAGAGTTTGCCTACTTTCTGCGTCTTTCCAGGATCGTCGAAAGTCCACAAGTTGTAGCTATCTTTATCTTGTTGGCCTACCCAGAGAAGGATGCCGTCTCCTCCTCTGATTTCGAAGAGAGTGGGCCTTCGAAAATCAAAGTACATTATTGCTTGGAGGCGGCCAATTCTTTTTGAAAATTGTTGCAACCCCATTTCAGGCTAGGCTTGTCATATCCTGGCATCGAAGTAAATCCGCAACTTCTAACAATTTTGACACTATGTAGTATTCGCGCTCTTTGGGAGTTAGGGTACTGTTGTATTATTGATTTAAAGAGAATATGAAAGAAACATTTGTAAAGGTAGCAACAGCAGACTGCAGTCGTAAGAGGTACTGCCCAGGCGCATACACGTGGCGGTACACGTAACTTGAGTACATGTAGCGTAAGGGTAACACGTGTTCAGGAATAATACATAAGGCATTGATACGACACTCGTGAAAACATTTCAGAATGTTCGCAAAATATTGTAAAAGAGCCTGAAGTTGTGCTACTACTAAGTTTTATAGCATTTTTTGTCTCCA